CAGATGATCAGAGGTCAGGAAAACAGACCTTACGACAACAGGCTGAGAGCTATGGGACTCTTCAGCCTGGAAAAGCACAGGCTCAGGGGTGATCTGGTGGCTGCCTATAAGTTTATCAGTGGTGACCACCAGGATCTGGGGGAACGTCTATTCACCAGAACGCCCCAAGGGATGACAAGATCAAACAGTTACAAACTCCACCATGACCAATGGGAGGATCCTGGCTACACAATTTATTTTACAGAGCTAGGGGATTTCTCCCTAGCTTGCTCCTTTGGCTTTTTGGCTAAAAGCAAGTGAGACTTGGGGGTATCTGAACCCCAAGACCTCTGGGCTTGGGGCTGGCACTGAGGATGCCTACCATGGATTTGGGACTATCTGAAGCCCCAAGCTGAATGACTGAGCTCTGCTCAGAGGATGAACTTTGGATCTGATTTGTCTAATTTGGCCTGAGACGTGAAAGTTAAAAAAGGTGAGTCACTGCCAGAAGTGTAACTAGTAAGGCTTATGGCCTGAGCCAGCCACCCCTTTCTCCACCTACTACCTCAGCCAGCCCTGCTCTGCGCCAAGGGCAACTTTTTCCGTCCCGGCCATTTTACAGCTGACCCTTACCCTTGCTGCCAATTGCCATTGCTAGCAACTGGTGCTTTGGTGGTAAAACAAGTGGCAGCTGCAATAAGAGGACATGAAAGACAGTAGGAAGGAAGGCAGTATGCAGCACGCTTGTGGCCTCTGCTTTTGACCTGTCTGCTTCCACCTCTGCGTCATCAGCTCTCTGATTCTCCCATCCACAAAGACCTCCACACACACACATACTATGACCTGTGAGCCATCGGTTGCCCTGCTTTACATGAATTTAGAGCTAGCTAATACCAGTTTAATATATAGTATAATATAGTGTAATTCAGTCAATACATTTACAGTGTGAAGTAACTGGATATAAAGTTGATTTGAATCAAATGGTTCACATAAATTGAACCGCTGGTTTAACCAATTCATTTTGGTTGGTTTAACCAATTGGATTTGGCTTAACCAATTAACTTTAAAGAAATAATCATTTTAGTGAAGTTTTGCGTGTAAATGAGGCCACAGTTTCTTTTGTCCATTACACGTAGTTCCAGGTACTGCATCCTAGAAATACACTTGCATCATGTGACATGTTTGCCTGATCATGGAATTTGCTTGTGTTGCCAACTCGGTATGTGTCTAAATGGCTTTGGGTCTAGCCACGCAATTCAAGTCTTCACCTGTACCTCTGTATCTGCTCCTGTATCTGTCTGTTCCTGAAGCTACCTGCATCTTTCTGCATCTGTCAGCAAGGGCCAGTTTTTCAACACACATCTCTGTCCGCATATATGTCTTTGACTGCTCACACCTTGTTCTCCGCATGTTGTGAGGCCTGTGTGGTTGCAGTGCCCTGTGCCTGTTCATGTACACCTCCTTGACTTCTGCCTCAATATGTCTGAATTCCTCCTGGTGGTTTCTCTCCAGGTGGTTATGCCTTTGCATGTGCTCACGCATCGCTCCCTGCGTGTTTGAGTAGCTGTCCCGAGCGTCTGTGGCTGAGCCTCTTTTTCCTGCGCCAGCGTTTCAAGCTCTGCCACATCCGTGCTAGGCTGCGCACTTGTGTCATTTGCAGCCAGCCTGACCTGTCCCTGCATCTGGTACGCCTGTCCCCATGTGAGCACCAGGGCCTGAATTACACTCAGACTCTTGGGGGAGTCTGCAGTGGTGGCAGCCGGAAGCTGAAAGAAGCTGCCACCTCAGCTGCTTAGAAAGGTGCAAGGTGGGTCAGGGGCTGCCATCTTTTATGGGGGGGGTCTAAACCCCCCCTGTATTTCAAACCCTGGTGACCACACACCAGGTCTGAAGGCACTTCGGTTAATCACTGCAGCTCTTTTTTTCAGGGTAGTGGGTTGTAGCTGGGTTGGACTTTGGGTAAATGTGATCTCTTTTATTAGACCAGCAAAATAGTTGGTAAAATTGTTTTGCCAGCTTGCAGAGGGTGGTTGTGCCCAAAAGCTTGCAAAGAATAAAATTCCCAACTATTCTGTTAGTGTAGTAAAAGACTGCTACTCTTGCCTTCTGTGGCTGGGCGCAGGCCCTTGCCCCGCTGTGCAAGCAGCAGCAGGGCAGCAGCGTGCTGCATACTCCTCCCTTCCTGGGTTTAGCCCGTGTCTGTGGCAGCGCGGGCTCTCTCTGCGGGCCCCCGCCTTTCTTCCCTGGCCACCTCCTGCATTTCACAACAAGCCTGGAAAAAAACAGCAGCTACCAGGAGTGGGGTTCGAACCCACGCGGACATACGTCCATTGGATCTTAAGTCCAACGCCTTAACCACTCGGCCATCCTGGTGCGGGTGCGGAAGATGCAGGCAGACGCGCCTACATAGAGCAATACCCGGCGCGCGGCGCTCACCTGCGCGCGCCGCCCCCTGCCCGGCAGCGGGGAGGGGGAGGGGAATAGAGCGGAGCAGACCCCCGGCCCGGCCAGTGCGGGCGGGCGCACAACCCAAAGCGGCGCCGCCCGACGCTGCGCGGCGCTGGCTCGCGGCAGAGCGGAGCTGAGCGGGCGGGCGAATTTGACGGGGAGGGGCAGGAGGAGCCTCGCGGGGGTGGGGGCGGGAGCTCCCCCAGCTCCGCCCGCAGGGCCCAGACACACACGTCTGTGCGTGCCTCTTCAGCCGCAGCCCGCTTTTCCACACACACATGCACTTGTCTGCACTTTATTGCACCCCCTCTGTACACCCAGTGCTGCCCACATACTCAGGCACCTTTCCTGGGCCTGTGTAATCTGCCAACACGCGCGCGCGCGCACACACACACACACACACACACACACACTGACGTGTGAGCCATTGATTGCATGCGCGCGCACACACACGTACCCCCATACACATACAAACAGCCCTTCAAGCCTGCCCCCTTTGTACACATTCCCCTGTGCCCATTTGTGCACACACACGATTGTGTACCCCGTGTAGAAAGACACGTACACAGCCCTCCATGCCTGCTGCTTCTGCACACATTCTCTTGCACCCACATACACATGACTGTGTACCCCCACACTGTACCCCCACACTGTGCTGATTTCCCCCTCGCCCAATACACACCCACACACGCACCCAAGCTGGAGCCTCCTCTGTGCCCGCATGTTACCTACTGCCACTGCACCTCAGGGACCAACACCAGGCTCTGATGCAGCCCCTCGACAGTCCCTTCCCCCCCCCACAAGTAAGCAATTTGGGGAGTTTAGAAGAAAAACACTTCCACCCACATTGCAGCAACATCTTTATTGCAGCGCAAACTTCAGCGCCTCTCAGCCAAGGTGCCGCAGCAAGCTCAGGTGCCAAGAGATCCTGTCAAGGGTGCAGTGAGGTGCCATGCAAGCTTACTGCTGTTGGGTGTACCAGCATGATTGCAAGAGAAGCCCAGAGATTTCAAATAGGTAGTGTTATTCTGACGTGCTGGAAGCTTTAGGAGTTCAAAAGAATTGTTTTATTATTTCCCAGGAGTCAAAAAAACAAGTGAAAAGGAGGAGATGGCATTTTGTGAGGGGTGTCTTGAATCTAAAAAGACTGAGAACCACCATGCTCTGGTGGATGTCACTGGCCATTTTGCCCAAAGCTAGCAGGACATACGTATTTGTCCCTGCAATGCTGGCCTTAATTTTCTGTTTAATTGATGGAATAAAGCAGCCTTAGATGTTGCCACCTTGTCCCGAGAGCTGCAAATGAAACATGCTGCCACCATCAGGAACATATGAATTGGATTTGAAGTAGCGTAAGCAGCCTCCATCAAACTCAGAGCATTTTGCTTATTCTTTGTCCAGTTTAAATGATCAGGAAATGAAACCTGAGGTGACAAGAGAGTCATTGAGAGCAAGGAAAAACAGCAAAGCCCTGTGATGTAAAGCATTACCTGGCAAAACTGAGGCTTCTTGAAGGAAATATAGAACTGTTTAGAGCATGACCCAAGAAACTGATAAACAGGGATCTTCAGACCACTAAAAAGAAACAAATTGCTTATTAGACTGCATCTTAAAATTAAGTGATGCAGCCTTGTCTGAAAACAGGTATAATTTTACATATTCAGAATTGTATGCTGGAATATGCCTTGCCATGGCTGATAAAAAAAACCTAGAAAACTTCCTTCTACATGAAAAATGTGACACTGTAATTTTGCTAGACTGTTTTATATAACTTAACACAGATGACATAGCTGTGCAGAAATAGGGATTAGAACTCAGGCCATTCCCCATTGTATTTTTATAGGCAGGACCCTTTTTCATTGTGCTATTGCTAGCTTTACTAAGTTTGCCTGTTTTAAGGAGCGGGGCCTTAGAGCTTCAGCAAGAGTTGTAAATATACCTCCATTTAAGTCAAGCATTTAGCTGGGCCTTGCTTATGCTTCTGGGAAGTGGTGTTGCAGGTCCTAACTGTTTACACTGGACAAGTACTGTATTTTATGCAGTATTGGGTGACACATTGTTTAAGTCGGCCCCATGTTTCTGTAAGAAAAAAAAAAAAAGGTAGGACTTTTGTATGTCTATTGTATAAGTTGAACCCACCTCAGTGTGAGAGGCACTGGAGGCCCAGGCGGGCTCGTGGGAGAGGTAGCATGCTGGTGGGCTCCTGAGAAGTTGGAGTGGGCCCCTGAGAGCTCAGGCAACAGACAGCCTGCTGGCAGCCTGCCTGGCCAGCCCCAGGGGGTGCTGCCCCTTTGGGAGGAAGAACTAGGTTCCTCTGCAGCTCAAGGGCTGCCTGGCCTGGTGGCAGCTTGCCCCCTGGTTGTGGGGCAGGTGGTGAGGCTCTGCCAAAAGCAGGATCAGGCTCCTCACTGCTTCTGCCTTTTACCAGGAGCCATCAGGATGCCTGGTGCCACCTGAGAAGAGGATGGCTTACCCCAGGGGCAGCACCAGGTTTCAGGCAGGGCTCTTCTGCTGCTTGCGTTCCACCCACCCCTGCCTGACTCCCTATGCTGCCCCTGGGGCAAGCCAGCCCCTTCCTGGGTGGTGCCAGGCATCCTGCTGGCCACAGGTGCCTGCTGAAGGCAGAAGTGGTGAGGGGCCAAATCCTGCTTTCAGCTGAGCCTCCCCACCTGCCTCGTGGCTGAGGGTGAGTTCCCACTAGACCAGGCAGTTTCTGACCTGCAGGAGGACCCCAGTCTTCCCTCTGTAAAGGCAGTGCCTCCCCACCTGGGGCCAGCTGCCCGAGCTCCCAGGGGGGTCCAGGCATTAAAAAACAAAAATTGGGTTTCAAAACTTACACACTGTGACTTATACACTGTGAAATACAGTACTCTAAAAAACTAGGCTACTGTATAATGCATGATCACTGCTACCAGCATCACAGAATGAGACATCCTCATTCTTTGAAAAAAATGGATGTAGGCATTTATGCTTAAGTCTCCAGGCTCAGGATCCTGCATAGACTGAAGGGGTCAGAGCTCTGGAGAGTGGCAAGATTTCAGAAACACTCTTGTTTCAAAATTTCCTATTGGCTGGCTCTACACAGCTGTTGTAGGCTGTCATTCAGAGGGGTCTAACTCTGCATACTCAATATAGGGGGGATTTGGATTTTGCTATGGGGGCTAGGCTAAGCATAGTGGCATTTAAGACCCTAATTGGTAGTAGCTCCAAACAACAGGGGTGCTCAATACCTGGCCAGATCCAACTCCCAGTGCTGGGCCAGATCCAACTCCTGGTGCTGCATATTGCATTTGGACAAATAACCCCTAATAAAATGATTAATAAAGGAAAAAATTCAACCAGTATTTGAATAGTAAGATACTGTCATTTTCATTTGGTAATTGATAAAAAAAAAAAGTGTTTCCTTTTTTAGCGCATCCAGATTTGAGCAATGGTGATATTGCTATTGTTATTCTTAACCTAATACATCCAGTTAGTTCTTTTCCAGTTTTCCTGTTCATTACTATTTAAACAATACTCACCCATTTTCTCAAACTAAGTTACCTGCTTGGTCTCAGAATGGTAGGACTGAATGTAATATTGAACAGAAACTGAATATTTTACAGTTGTCTGTGTTACCAAAACACATTTGGTATGTGTAAATTCCAGTCCCTGGGATTATAAAGCACATATTATATGGCAATAAAATAGATAATTAAAAGTCTTCAAGATAAAAGCATTCACATTTTCCCCTCTTTTATTTCCTGTCAAGAAAAGACCATTTAAGCCTTTGAGATCAGCAGCTTCTACAAGGAGTTGAAATTTGCACAGTGGGCACATTTATAAGAAACATGTAATGCACAGAAGACTAATTCTACTGTGCGTTAGCGTGCCTGGCAAAAAATGTGCGCTAATGCACAATAGACTTAGTTTAATACATGTTAACATCACGTAAAAAGTATTCAGCTGCGCTGTTGTAATTTTGGCGCGTTAACGAACATGTAAACACACCTTCACCACTGAAGAGCAACCACCCTTAGTAACTACTCGTGGTAATGGAAATTTGCTTAGGTTAGAAATCTGGAACTAAAACTAACTCGTGAAACCTAAGTGGAAGTATTTGGATCTAGATAAAGAGAATTATTTTTCTTTGTGTCCATCATTAATTTTTGCAGCCATATATGTTGTATTAATTATGGAAAATGTAGAACTTGCTACATACCAATTTAAATTTTAATAATATATTTTTAACCATAATATAAACAAATTCCACAGAAAGAATACCTATTACCAATATATCAATAGACATCTACATATTACAGTCAGTAAACGCAATCTCTCCTCTTCTAACATGGTCACAATATTTTAGGTTGGTGGCTTGGGTTCAGCTTTGTAATTGCTTGTATTTGAAACTTCAGGGAAACCACTTCAAAAGAAGACACTCCTGGCATGTGTATAACTTTGTATACAAGTAACTGTTGAAAAATGCGAAGTATTAAAGTTGATACATACGTCATCTATGAAATATCATTTCCTGTCTTGATCACATTCTCCAGTCTTGCGATACAAAGTGTGAAATATT